TCCAGCTCTGCGGTCTCCATTCTCCACCTTTATGTCCACTCCAGCTCTGCAGTCTCTGTTCTCCACCTTTATGTCCACCTCCAGCTCTGGGCTAAGGATGGCCTCATGTGAAGAGAGCAGAGAAGCCTTTGGACAAGAGCCGGGAGGCACGGCTCGGCTCCACTGTCCCAGGAACGGGGCCACAAAACTGAGGCTGGCAGAAAAAGTAAGCCAGGTTCAACCCTTCTTTCCCCAGGCGGCGGGTCTTGAAGATCTCTGATGGGATCCAGCACCTGGGGGCCCTGCGCTGGGAGCTGGCTCTGTGCCTCCTGCTGGCCTGGGTCATCTGCTACTTCTGCATCTGGAAGGGGGTCAAGTCCACAGGCAAGGTTCGTGTGGGGAGCTCCTGCCCCTCCCATCCCCGGACTCCCTGTCCTCACTAGGGGCTGTCACCCAGGAGTTCTGGAAGCTGTGGCCCCGTCGAGGATGGGAGGCGATGACCCAGCAAGGATTTGATGCAGCTTCCGTCCTTGCTTCTGTGCCTCTCCTGGATTCACGTGCTTCTGAATTTTGGGACTGGAAGAGAGCGAGAAGGACAGGAAGGACACCTCCAGGGTAATCTGATCTTGGAACTGATGATGTGTGGGCACATTGCGAATTGAACACGAGTCATGGTTCCCTAATTCATACAACAGTTCTTTGGAAAAAGAATTCCATGAAGACTCTTCATCTCAAAATGACTCTTAACCAGCTCAAGAATTCCGGGGAACTCTTTGCCCTGGAGCAAAGAGGGCATTCTGAATTCTTCCTAACTCTTGCCCTGGGAGCCTCTCCTAATCTGGCTGCCTGGTTTGTGCTAAGCTATGTGAGGACAGGGGTCATGTGTCATAAATCTTTTCATATCTGACAATCCTTGCCATGAATGCCAAGCACACTTGTTGGGAGAATGCCAAATGTCAGTCACTCAACAAATATTTATTGAATATGTGTCAGGGGAGGCGGGAGCTTTTAGCTGGAGGGAGGAAGGGAAGAGGGGAGGCTGTGGCTCAAGGGATAGGGGAGATGGAACTATATCAGGGAACCGGCCTCCAGTATTTCAATGTAGGTTCTTTCTATTTTCCATAAGTGTCAGCCAACTGAGAAATAAAGAGAGACAGTACAAAGAGAGGAATTTTATAGCTGGGCTGCCGGGGGCGACATCACATATCAGTAGGACCATGATGCCCACCTGAGCCTCAAAACCAGCAAGTTTTTATTAAGGGTTTCAAAAGGGGAGGGGGTGTAAGAACAGGGAGTAGGTACAAAGATCACATGCTTCAAAGGGCAAAAAGCAGAACTACTAATAAGGGTCTAACAAAGATCACATGCTTCTGAGGGAACAGGACAAGGGGCAAAAGTAGAGCCACTAATAAAGGTCCAACAAAGATCACAGGGCAAAGGGCAAAAGCAGAACTACTAATAAGGGTCTATGTTCAGCGGTGCACGTATGGTCTTGATAAACATCTTAAACAACAGAAAACAGGGTTCGAGAACAGAGAACCGGTCTGACCACACATTTACCAGGGTGGAGTTTTCCCCACCCTAGTAAGCCTGAGCGTACTGCAGGAGACCAGGGCGTGTCTCAGTCCTTATCTCAACTGCATAAGGCAGACATTCCCAGAGTGGCCGTTTATAGACCTCCCCCCAGGAATGCATTCCTTTCCCAGGGCATTAATATTAATATTCCTTGCTAGAAAAAGAATTTAGTGATATCTCTCCTACTTGCACATCCACTTACAGGCTCTCTGCAAGAAGAAAACTATGGTTCTTTTTGCCTGACCCCACAGGCAGTCAGACCTTATGGTTGTTTCCCTTGTTCCTCAGAAATTGCTGTTATTCTGTTCTTTTTCAAGGTGCACTGATTTCATATTGTTCAAACACACGTGTTTTACAATCAATTTGTACAGTTAACACATTTATCACAGTGGTCCTGAGGTGATATACATCCTCAGCTTACAAGGACAACAGGATTAAGAGATTAAAGTAAAAACAGGCATAAGAAATTATAAAAGTATTATTTGGAAGCTGATAAATGTCCATGAAATCTTCACAATTTATGTTCCTCTGCCGTGGCTCCCAGCTGGTACCTCCATTCGGGGGGTCCCTGACTTCCCGCAACAGAACTAAACAGCTGCGGGCGAGCTGGGAGCAGGAGGAACACTCCCTTGACCTTTTCTGAGGAGCTCCTGCCCCTGCCTCCTGCCCCTGCCACTTCCTCACTCACAAGCTCCTTGTCTCTCATTTGCCCATGACCAGGTGGTGTACTTCACGGCCACATTTCCTTACCTCATGCTGGTGGTCCTGTTAATTCGAGGGGTGACGTTGCCTGGGGCAGCCCAAGGAATTCAGTTTTACCTGTACCCAAACCTCACGCGTCTGTGGGATCCCCAGGTAAGAAACCACAGACAGGAGCCCTCACGTGACTCCTGGGGCACCTGAGCTCCAGGCTTTCCCTGCACTCTGGCAGGGAACCCCCGCACCTAGCACTACCCTGGGATGTCCACAGTGGCAGCAGGGGTGCACCCTTCCTTCTCTAGATATCTGTTTGTTGCTGGAAAGGGGTCCCAATCCAGACCCCAAGAGAGGGTTCTTGGACCTTGCACAAGAAAGAATTTGGGGGGAGTAGAATAAAGCAAAAGCAAGCTTATTAGGAAAGTAAAGGAGGCCAGGTGCGCTGGCTCACGCCTGTAATCCCAGCACTTTGGGAGGCCGAGGTGGGTGGATCATTTGATGTCAGGAGTTCGAGACCAGTCTGGCCAACATAGTGAAACCCCCCCTCTACTAAAAAATACAAAAATTAGCCGGGCGTGGTGGTGGGAGCCTGTAATGCCAGCTACTCGGGAGGCTGAGGCAGGAGAATCACTTGAACCCGGGAGGCGAATGTTGCAGTGAGCTGAGATGGCGCCACTGCACTCCAGCCTGGCCAACAGAGTGAGACTCTGTCTCTAAAATAAAATAAAATAAAATAAAATAAAATAAAATAAAATAAAATAAAGGAATAAAGAATGGCTGCTCCATAGGTAGGATGCCCCAGGGCTACTGGTTGCCCATTTTTATGGTTATTTTTCGATTATATGCTAAACAAGGGGTGGGTTATTCATCAGTTTTCCGGAAAGGTGTGGAATTCCCAAAACTGAGGGTTCTCCCCCCATGTCAGACCATAGAGGTTAACTCCCTTCGCATTTGTAAACTGTCATGGCACTGGTGGGAGGGTCTTTCAGGCATGCTAACGCATAGTGATTTGCATGTAAAGAGTGGTGAGGAAGACCAGAGGTCACTTCTGTCGCCATCTTGGTTTTCGCGGGTTTTGGCTGTCTCCTTTACTGAAACCTGTTTTATCAGCAAGGTCTTTATGACCTGTGTCTGGGGACGTGACGACCTCCTGTCTCATCCCGTGACTGAGAATGCCTCACCTCCTGGGAACACAGCCCAGTAGGTCTCAGCTTTATTTCACCCAGCCCCTGTTCAAGCTGGAGTCGCTCTGGTTCAAATGCCTCTGACGTGTTAGCAGCTGTTTGTGGTCATAAGGTGTCGGACACTGTCCCTTCTTGGGTTCCCAGCTGCCAGGGAACCCAGGCAAATTTTACTAGGGTAATATTTCTAGTAATATTTCTCAAGGGCCGCAAGTGTCACTCACAGTCCTTACTCGGGTATCCTTCTCCCATCCTCTCCCCACGCACTTCATACATTTATCTTTTAGGGGCTTGTCTCCTACTGAGTTTCCTCTTTAATTCTTACCCCTCAATCTGCCTCCTGGCTCCCTCCCTCTGCCCATGTGACCCACGTCTAGGTCCCAGCTCCCTGGCCCTGCCCTCAGCCAGCTGGGCTAGTGTTAAGTTTCCCTGTCAGATGTCCGGAGACTCCGGGTCTCCTCCCCACCCTGCCTTCATGGTCTGCACTCCCTCTGCTACAGCTTTTTCACCGTCTGGGTAGGGAGAGCTGGTGTTGCCTGCTGCCTGAAGGGGGTTGAAAAGCAAGACCTGGAATGGGCCGCCCCCGCCTCTGACAGGTCTCTTACCTTCCCCTGTTTGGCAGCCAGTTGAAAGCTGGCAAAGCTAGGAGGTGTTGAGGGCTGGAGGGGAGCGTGGGCAATCTCTGCCCCAGAGGCCCTGAAATGTTACGCGGTTATGCCCTGCCCCTGCCTCCTGGGCGCAGAGGCCACCCTGCGGGGGGAGTGAGCGTGCGACCTGGAGACGCTCCTCTTGTTGCCGGAGGATCTCTCTGTGTCTGTGAAAGGAGCCCCAAGGAGGCATACGGGCGAGTGGTTCCCACACATAGATCACACTGGGATGGCTCCAAACGTTTTAAAAGAGTCGGGCACCAGCATATTCACCACGTTCCTGACAGGGAGCAAGAGAAGGGGGACAGGCACACCCAGGCTGGGAGCTCCGTGCACACAGGGGCAACAGCTCCCCCTGGTGCGGAACGTCAGGCGATCCGGAAGCCAGGCCGTTCTCCGTCTCCTGGCCGCTGCGGCCCGCTTTTGATTCTTTCATCCTGAGCTCTACTGGGACGCTGTGGCTTCCGGAAGCAGCCAGCCCACTGCTCTTCAGAAACCTCCCTGCAGAGTCCAGTAGCCCTGGTCCTGAGTGTTTCTCAATAACCATCTGGTGGGATAGAGGCTTATCTTTCCCTTCTCCCATTTCTCAGCCAGCACAGAGAGAGGACTGCTACTGCCGCATGTCCACGCCGGGCACTAGGGCTGCAGTCAGACTTTGGAGCCAAACTGTCGAAGCACAACTGGGATCCTTCTAGGACCCCAGTGCATGTTCCTCATTGTAAGATGAGCCCACCGTGGCCTAAGTTTGTGCAGCCAGTAATTATGGCAGACCAGGCAAAGGATATCTTTGTTTTGTGAATCATAAGCCCTTTGACTTACCTAGAACCAAAGGGCTGTGGTGGACAGCAGGTGGCGAGCAGGAGTTGTGGGGGAAGCTGAGAGGAGGGGAGGCTTTGAAGGCCGGGTGAAGAGTTTGGCTTGGATTCCCCGCACACGAGAGAGCCACGGTGGTTCTGGAGCGGCAGAGTGGAGAACCAGTGGCTAAGCTACGAAGATCACTGACCGCCTTTGTCCGCAGGTAGGCCAGAGAGGATGCAGGCAGGACCAGGAAAGGTGACAGGCAGGGAGGAAGGACAGAGGGGCTCAGTATTTCCACAACAGATTCACGACTTTGTCCTGATCAGCTATTTACAGCTAACTACTAGGGCGTGCTTCCTCTGTCCCTGACATCGTTCAGAGGCTTACATGCGTTATTTCAGCAAACGCTCACAGCAGGTCAACCAGGCAACCCCATTTTATAGATTAGGACCTTAAGGCCTAGAGAGCTTCAAGCATATTTTCACCCTCATACCTGCAGCTGGGACTGGGTCCGAAGGGTGACAAATGCCATGCACTTTATGGTCCACTCTTGGAGACGAGGTCCCTGGCTGCTCACCTTTGTTTCTCTCACAGCTTATCAGAAAAAACCTGAATGAATCTACTATGAGTATCTACTACGTGCCGAATCTGTTCCAGTGCCACGTTTGGTACATAATAGCTTCCAGAAAACATAAAGAAGGTGGACCGGCTCGCTTTCAAGTTCTGAGCATTAATGAGGCCCTAAGTCTCTGTCTGGGTGACTGCAGGGACAAAGACCTCTTTCAGCCTGTGCTCCGGGATACCGTTCTTTCCATTCCAGCCAGCTTTGGGCCGTGCAGGCAGCGTCTGTCTTCCAAGTGCTTTGGGGCGGTGGGGAGGGGGCTGGGCCAAGTGCCAGGACGGGTCCTGAGCGGCCACCTTCTCTGCCTGGTCCAAGTCTCATGCTGAAGCTGGGCCTTTGTTGTCAGTGAACACAGCAGCACCTGCGGGGTGTGGGGGCTCTGCCAGAGCCCTAATTGAATCTCATTGGCACTCCCCGGAAAGTGTGATTATTCTCACTGGCATTTGCCTGGCACTCGAGAAAGGTGCAAAATTTCTTCTCCACGACACAGAGACCAAAGGCGGATCTCTCTGCCAAGCACTGAGGCTGGTGGTTGGGGGCCAGGCAGAGACCACGCCGTGTTCCCCTCTTGTTTGCTCCCCTTTTCCTGCCAGGCTTGCTGTGTGGGGGGCAGGTTGCTACCTTTCCCGGTGTTCTCAGGCCTTGTCTCGTCCCCCTGGAGAGTGGCCACTGGAGACCCAGGGCTCTGCTGGAACCCTGCGCTTTGTTCAGGCCACTCGTTTCTTTCCTGGGTCCTGGCCCTGTGCCCGTTCTGCTGCACTTTAGGAGATTGCCAAAGGCGGGGGTCGGGAGGAGGGCACCAAAGAGCCCTCCTGGAACCTTTTAAATCCCTACGTGAAGCAAGTCTAAGGAAAGGTTTGTTTAGGGAGGAAGTTGAAATCACCGATTAGAACTAGTCTTTATTTTAGCATTGAAATCCAATCTATGCCACCTCATTACCAATGAAAGATGAGTTGCTTTTTAAAATAATAGCAGTAAACAGTGGCCAAAGCTAACCTTATTGCGTCCTCCTTATTTGCCAGGCCCTTTGCCGAGTGCTTGACACAGTCCAACCCTGTGAGTGTGGGGTCAGCCTCATCTTACAGAGGGAGAAACAGAAGCTTAGGGAACCCAAGAAACTTGCCCAGAATCACAAAACTAGCACGCGGGGGAGCTTGGGTTGATCTCAAGTAGTTTTTCGAAGACTGCTGTCTTATTCACCGTGAAAGATATTTCCCAAAGAATATGAATTATTTGAGAGTTTTAAGAGCTGCTTTTTATTATTCTAGAAGGTGAGATGGGAAACGAATATTTATTTATGTGTTAGGCATTTCACATACATTATTTTATTTGTTATTATACCCATTTTCCTCAGGAGAAAAGGGAGGTTCAGGGAGGTTAAGTGACTTGCCTAAGGCCACACAGCCAGCAACTAATAAAGTCAGGAATTGAGCCCAGATTAACGTAACTTCAGAGCCCGTGCTTTTCCGTCACACCACATTGCCTTCCTAAAAACAGTAGAGAGAGATGGATAATTCTGGGGGTTGGACTTGAGGCTGAAAACATTTCTCCCAGATCCTCTCTCCTCCTCTTTCCCCCCAAGACCTCTTTTTACCTGCGTCCCACCAAGAATTTTTCACACTTGTTTTTCCCTCGGTCGGCCTTCTGCCCTAGCCAAAGACGTGTCAGAGCTTTCTTCCAGACACCAGAGCTCCTGGCGTGGGCAGGGGGTGGGCGCCTGTGGTGGGAATGGAACAGCTTGCTCTGCGTGTCCCTCAGCCCTGCTTCTGACCCTGTTCTCTTCCCCAGCCCAGCAGGCTTGTCGGGCAGCAGCTGTGTGGGGAGCTGCGGCTTGCCAAGCTCCCAGCGAGGGGGCTGTAGTCAAAGGCTTTGGTCAAAGAGTGCATTGACCCTTGTGCTCTGGGTTTCCAGCCCTCCCGCTGCATTTTCCTTGGTTCTCATTAATGTCTCCCCCAACTCAGTCTCCACATGACCCCACTCTGACCTCCCACCCCTGCCGAGGCGAGGTGAACGGCCAAGTCACGATTTCTCTTATTATTCCTTCCCAAGCACAAGTTCACAAAGCTGCCCATCTCAGGCTTGTGCCGCTGCCTGTGTGTGGGCAGCTACAGTGTGCTTCCTTGGGAACTCATGGCCCGGTCTGCACCCAGTGCACTGTCAGGCCCGGGAGCAAACGTCCAAGGCGTGAGGCCTCCAGGCTCCTGAGCCACATCCTGAATGACCTTTTTGGGAGGAGGTGCCTGACCTCATGAAGGGGCAGTACCCAGGAGACACGCATTGGTCCTGAGCCCTTCCACCTCTCACCCTGGGAAACGCTTTCTCTATAAGCTCAGGGCCTTTCGCCAGAAGGTCCTGCTCTTGAAGCTGCCAATAACGTAGCCGGTGAAGCAGGAATAAGATAGAACCAAGTGACTTTCATGCCAAAGTCAGTGAGTTTTCCTGAGATGACTATCTGTGCACGATCTGTGTGGTAGAGTTTTAGAAAAGAAAAGGATTTGGAACATCTCAAAGGAGGAAACAGACTGGCCAAGGCATCTCCTCAAAACTGGTGTGGCATCACACCGAAACTTTTTTTTTTTAACTGGGAGAAGCGAGACGCTGAAATTTGCAAGCACTCCCCTTGCCTGTCCTCAGAGTTGGTCTTTCTTTCCTACCGTTTCCTTCTCTAGCATTTCATTCCTACCACTTCCTTCTCTGTGTGATTTCCTCACTGGCTCCGGCCCCTCCAAATCCTCCTCTGTGCTTCTTGCTGCTGACCCCTTGTTCCTGGTGGCGCCTCCTGCCTCACAGACCATCTCAGGACGGGATTCCCAGTGAACTCAAGAATGGGAGGCTGGAGACATTCTCCCCTTCCCCCTACCGTCTTCCCTACTCTGTCCCTGGCCCTGCAGAATGGAAACATGATAAGAGGATGGGTGCCCTGGGTGCACCCCGATAGGGGCATCCCATACCTGGTGACCATTAGGATCACCCAGGAAGCTCTGAAAAGGATACGAGTTCTGGGTTCTCCTTCAGGCCTAGGGATTTAGCGTCTCGACTGGGGATGCTGACTGAGGAATCGGCGTGATTCTGAGGCGGTCAGCCTGCTGATGGATCCCTCGGGCCCCTACACTGCTGAGGAATGTGGCCGCTTTGGTAGGGGTGAGCGTGAAAGGAGGGTGCAAGGGGTAGGGGCTGAGGGTGGTGACCATGCCTAGGCAGGCAGGCAAAGACCAAGAAGGGACTGAGGAATTGGAGGCCTGATAGAGGGTTTTATGGAAAGTAGGGGCATGCTTGGGGGTACCGGAATGAGGCTGAGCAAAAGACACAGACGGGTCATCCGGTACCCTTTCCGTTAGGAACGCAGACACGTGAGGAACACCTGCTTGGATGTCTGCGTCCATAGCGGGGTGCTCCCTGGCTGTGCGCACGTCGCCGGGGCAGGAGTGCCTGGGGAGGGTCCTGCAGATCTGCGGGGTCACTCGGTCCTGTTGCCTTGATGTTCTTTCTGTCTGGGATGTTATTCTAGCTGTTAGATCTAAATCACAACATGCACAGGCTGGGCGAGCCAGCTGAGATAATAACAGTAACAGCCAACTCTGTGTTTAGCTGGACTGTGATTTTTCCTCCCAAGCACTACAGAGCCCTTTTCAGAGGCGTTTCTGTTCGTCCTTTTGCCTTTTTGCGGGCCGAGAATTACTCTCCCTGTCTGCAGACAGAGGTGGCTGAGATGTGAGGGGCAAAGCTACGTACTGGTGGCAGCCCTGAGGTTAGGGAGAGTGTCCCGGAGACCCTGTGCCTGGATTCCTCCACACTGGTCGCAGGAGGAAGTGGGGGCAGAACCTAGGATCCAAACCTTGACAGGAGGCCTAACTTTGTTCTAGAGCCCTGTCCCACCCTCCCACACATTCCACCACGGGTCTTTTAGTCTTTTTCGTTTTCTTTGAATGCTTAATGCCTGTCCTATCCTAGTAGTGCCCAAGAAACTTCATCCAGGAGCCCAGGGAGTAGAGCCCACCGGGGTGACAGAGGTCGCAGGATGCCAGTGTTGGCTGAGAACAGGTTTCTCACCATCCTTAGCCAGTGTCCGACTCAGCCACGTGCCTATGTCCTTCCATGGCTTGAATGGCCCGGCTTTCCTGGGAGTTCACCTTTCTTGCCCTTTCCCTTTGTAGGTGTGGATGGATGCGGGCACCCAGATCTTCTTCTCCTTCGCCATCTGTCTTGGGTGCCTGACAGCCCTGGGCAGCTACAACAAATACCACAACAACTGCTACAGGTGATTGGGGGCGTGGGGCCTGAGCCACACACCGGCATCTCTCTACTGTCCCTCCAGCCATGCTAGACGAGGGTGAGTCGGAGGGTGCATCAGCTCCTGGATCTGCCCCCCTGTCTACACTTCCATATCCAACACCCCAGGGCTACCAGGAGCTGCAAGGAGCCAACTGCAAGGTGGACAGAGAATTGCATCTGAAAGGGTGGGATAGTTGTGATTGGCTGGGAGACCACAGCAGGAGGACCTGGCCTCCTGGCTGATGTAGAGGTTGGTGGGCTCAGGAGTGCTAGGTAAGCAAGCCTGAGAAGCACAACAGGTCTTTGAATAATGTCGTTTCCTTATAACTTTGATGAGAAAAAAAAAACTGGTTTCATTATAGGTTGTTTTGCATAAAGTTGCAATTTGCAAGAATGTATCGATGATAAGTGAGGTCCTACTGTGATTAGCAATGTCATGCATTGCACCCCAGTCTTGCCTGCTTGGTAACTCTGCCCCCAAAACTTTGAATCCTTACCCATTTTTCACACCATCTCCCTCACTTCACGTCCTGTCCCCGTTGTTCTCTCCTTGCCTACCTGGTTTGTGCTCAGAAAATTTAAGCCAATTTTAATACCAGCTGAAGCATAGCTGAAATGAAATCATTCTTGTGCATCTCAACATTGAATTTAGGTGACTAGGAGTTCCTTCTTGTTTGGGATCACCACGTCTCTATCCCTGTGTTGGGACGCCAGATGGGATCATGGCCGAGTGGTAGAGTGTCCCACGAGGAGTGGACCAGGATGGCAGAGAGGGGCGGCTGTGTGGCAGTTTGACACATCTAGCTTCATGTTTTACTTCCCTGGAGCCTCATTCTTTCAGGACTACCTTGATTTATTCCATGCCTGGGCTGGGGGGGCCAGGGAGTGTCAGAGGAGAGCCCATGCTATGTGTGGTCCTCTGAATTCTGCCAGGTAGCCCTGCTCCGGCCTCCGTGAAGGGGCCAGGACAGTGTCCGTCAGGAGGGGCTGTGCTCCCAGACAGGAAGCGGGAGAGGTCGCAGCCCCGTTCTGATCCTGCCATTCCGCCCTCTCCTCACCCCTGCCCCACAGGGACTGCCTCGCCCTCTGCTTCCTCAACAGCGGCACCAGCTTTGTGGCCGGCTTCGCCATCTTCTCCATCCTGGGCTTCATGTCCCAGGAGCAGGGGGTGCCCATTTCTGAGGTGGCCGAGTCAGGTGAGTGTTTCTGGGGCGGCCCGGAGGCGGGGAGCCTGGCTCAGACCTCTGGCAGCGAGGGTTGAGAGACGTTTCTGCGTGTCGCCTACTCTGGGTGAGCTACGGCCACCATTCAGTGGATGCATTCCGGGATGGCTTGGGGGAGAACTGCAACAGTAATTCCAGCTTCAAAGAGAAGGCATGCAGTGAACATTTTTCCTCCCATCCTTGGCTTCCAGTTCATTACCCTGGAGGCAGCCAATGTTATCTGCTTCGTGTTTATCCTTCCAGAAATAGTTTAGACATATATGAGAAAAAATATATATACAGACATATACATGTGATACATATTACTATTTCTATTTCTTGCCTCCTTCTTAAAAAACCAAATGATAACACACTATATACACTGTTCTGTACCTTGTCTCGTTTTGTTCATTTTAAAATGAATCTCAAGGGGAAGTTTCTATCAGCATATAGAGTTCCCCCGTTTGTGAGTGACTGCCTTTCCGCCATGCAGTGCTGTTGTTGCTGCTTTCAAATAACATCAAGGCCCGGGCTCTGATCTGAATAAGCCATAAAATGTTGCTCTTGCTCACCTACTTTTGCCCTGTAACAAGATGATTTTTTTTTTTTGAGACGGAGTCTCGCTCTGTCGCCCAGGCTGGAGTGCAGTGGCGCGATCTCAGTTCACTGCAAGCTCCGCCTCCCGGGTTCACGCCATTCTGCTGCCTCAGCCTCCCGAGTAGCTGGGACTACAGGCGCCGCCACCTCGCCCGGCTAGTTTTTTGTATTTTTTAGTAGAGACGGGGTTTCACCGTGTTAGCCAGGATGGTCTCGATCTCCTGACCTCGTGATCCTCCCGTCTCGGCCTCCCAAAGTGCTGGGATTACAGGCTTGAGCCACTGCGCCTGGCACAAGATGATTTTTTACCATGGCATTCAGAAGCACGCCTGGGCCACACAGGATGCCAAGCCCTGGGTGGGGGAGGTCTGGGATTCTCATTAAGGATAGTCTCTCTCGCTTTTTTTTTTTTTTTTTTTTTACTTTTTGAGAGGGAGTCTTGCTCTGTCACCCAGGCTGGAGTGTGGTGACATGATCTTGGCTCACTGCAACCTCCGCTTCTCAGGCTGAAGTGATTCTCGTGCCTCAGCTTCCTGAGTAGCTGAGATTACAGGCATGTGCCACCATGCCCGGCTAATTTTTGTATTTTTAGTAGAGACAGGGTTTCACCATGTTGGCCAGGCTGGTCTTGAACCACTGGCCTCAAGTGATCCACCCACCCCAACCTCCCAAACTGCTGGGATTATAGGCATGAGCCTATGTGCCTGGCCCATGTCTCACTTTCTAAGTGTGGACTGTATGCCAGGTGCTGGGCGAGGCACCCTGCTTGTACCATGCAACGGAAACCTGTGGGGCAGGCCCTGCACAATCCCCACCTCACCAGTGTGGGAGCTGGGACTGGCAGAAGCAAAAGACCTCCAAGGTCACAGTGATGCTCTTCACTTTTCAGAGGAACTTCCCATGGGGAGACCCAGGCTCTGTTATGTGCATTTTTTCCTGCCACATGAGTCAGTTGAGAGAAGCACTCACGAACTGTGAGGATGTGTGTCAGCAGCACTCTGCAATCAGTGCCAGCGTCGTCGTAGGGTGACAGAAAGGGCTCCAGGCACAGAGGTGGTAAACTAGAGGCCCCAGGCCAAACCTGGCCTTGGAGCAATTTTCTTTTGTACCATCTACATTCCTTACAAATACAAGAAATCATCGCTAGCAGCTGGGGCCTGATCGCTCCGCTTCTCACCAGGCCCTACCACCTCCTTGTGTTTTGCACCGGGTCTGCTTCACACATGTCTATGGCCTGCTGGCTTCTGAGCTCATTCTAGGCTTGAAACCTCAGGTCTGTACAATAGATCTGGATATCTGGAGTCCTTTTAGACCCACAGCCCTTTACACCTGCCATCTCTAAAATTTGTTCTTGCCAATGAGAATGCAGTGAGAGGTACCTTGGAAATCCGAGAAACGGGTGGAGGTTGGGGTGGCTTCTCCTGGGTGAGGATGGTGGTGGTGATAGTAACTTTGGGGTGAAGTTTCCTCTAGCTCCTGGTATTCCATGGTCCCACACTGGGAAGCCATGGGTCACACACGGCCTGGAGCTGGCCCAGGCACTGGCCCGTGTTCCTCTGCTCCTTGTCGTAGGCCCTGGCCTGGCTTTCATCGCTTACCCGCGGGCCGTGGTGATGCTGCCCTTCTCTCCTCTCTGGGCCTGCTGTTTCTTCTTCATGGTCGTTCTCCTGGGACTGGATAGTCAGGTATCAAGAGGCAGCCACTCAGGGGCTGAGAGATGAGCGGGGGGTGTGTGCTGGGGAGGAGGAGCAGTGGGCATGTGGTTGAACTTTATGCCCCAAGGGCCCGTAAACTAGCTGGGGGCTGGGTGAATGTCAGAAGCGGATGCCCTTTCGGGGGCGCAGGGGAGCTTGAGGGTGAGTCCTGACCTTACCAGGCAAGGACAATGGCTCTGGGGACCTGAGAGAGTGAGGCTGGCAGGGCTGATCCTGGGAGTGAGAAGCCAGCGCTCAGGGACAGGGCATCTCGGGAGCTCTCCTTCCCTGCAATCCCTTTGCCCTCTCATCCAGTTTGTGTGTGTAGAAAGCCTGGTGACAGCGCTGGTGGACATGTACCCGCGCGTGTTCCGCAAGAAGAACCGGAGGGAAGTCCTCATCCTTGGAGTATCTGTCGTCTCCTTCCTTGTAGGGCTGGTCATGCTCACGGAGGTGAGGGCCTGGGAGGCGGGGGACGATGGGGGAGGAGGAGCCGAGTGACAGCTGCTACCTGTCAGTGAGGCAGATACCCTGGCTTCGGGTCAGGCCAGGTCTTCCGGGCTTCGGGACACTAGGACTCCCTCTTTTCCCCATCCCAGGAAGGACAAAGTAGGCAGGTCCCTCCTCTGGCCTTTGGGCCTGGACCACCCACCTCCAGGGATGGGTGAGGAGCCATTTGGCTCCCCAGTAAGTGAAGAGGTATGTGGAGCGTTGGATTGGGAGAAGCTGCCTCTCCAGCAAGATCTGGTGATTTCCCAGGCAGCTGAACCAAGTTCTGTGTACAAACTTCAAAGCGAGAAAGGGAGCCCTGGGGCTGGGGAACGTTCTGTGTGCCGTCTCGAGGGAGAAGGAGGGAGATGCAGCTTGTCAGCTTGACAATATCAATGACAGCCCTTATCCTAATCCTTTCCCCAGAGAGTACACGCTATGTCTTGGGCTTCGGGGCCAGTCCCTAAGTGTTCTCAGACATAATCTAACAATCGCTGTCTTATGTCATCTATCTTCTGTCTCAAAACAATAATAAAAATAATTAGCGTCTCATATCTGCCTCGTGCTTTACGCCTTACAAATGACTGCTCTTTTGTGATCCGTCTCCTGTGATCCTCACCAGCTCTGCTCGGTGCCTCCACCGTGTGACACTCAAGGGCGTAGGAGGGAATCTGTCTGTTTCCACTGGATGAAGTTCTTTTTACAGCTCTCTCCTCCCGTGCAGGGCGGAATGTATGTGTTCCAGCTCTTCGACTACTATGCCGCCAGTGGCATGTGTCTCCTGTTCGTGGCCATCTTTGAGTCCCTCTGTGTGGCTTGGGTTTACGGTGAGTGACTCCTCCCCTAGGTCCCGTCCCCGCATCCTCCTCTTGTCTAAGGATCTCGGGGCCCTTAGACACGAAACAGACATCCACTGCTCACACTTACCTTTTCCTGGGGCGCCTCCCTACCCAACCTCAAAAATCGGGCAAATCCTAAATTGCTGCCTTTGGAAGGCCCCCCGGACGCTGCCTTGCCCACAGTCTTGGTTATAGCTGTACCTAGACCACCTCAGGTGGGCCCGTATCCCGCCCTGTCCAAACATTTTCAGCTTTTGACAACCTCGATAACCAGGGAGTGACTGCCCGTCCCCAGGCCAAGGCCTGCTTGCTGCTGTTTATGCCTGTGAGAGCCAGGCAAGAGCTTTCTCCCAGCAACGATTTGAACAGGCAGCTGTGATGCCGTCTCTTCATGGGTCCCCGCCCATTCTGGTCTGTTTGTGGCCCCTCCTGATGTTCTGGGTGCCGAAGAATGACTCTCCCGCTTCCTTCTTCTTTTCTCCATGGTAGGAGCCAGACGTTTCTACGACAACATCGAAGACATGATTGGGTACAGGCCGTGGCCTCTTATCAAATACTGTTGGCTGTTCCTCACGCCAGCTGTGTGCACAGTAAGATCATTTCAGGGATACAGTCAGATGAAGGGAGGGAGAGACGGTGGCTAGCAGGGTCGAGAAGCCGTTAGCCCTGCCATGGACTTCTCCCTAGGAACTGAAAATCATCTTAGGCTTTCACTCATCCTGCTTTTGGATTCTAGAAAACTACAGCAAGATAGATTCTTCCTTTCCATGTCACAGAAGGATAAACTGAGGTCCAGAGCTGTCAGACGGTTTGACCAGCACCACAGTGTGAGTCTAACGTCACAGGCCAGGACTGAACCCGGGTGCACTGGACGACTCATAATATTGTAATCCCCACAGCAATGGTAAAAGCGGCCAATACAGAGCACTGACTGGGTGCTGGGCCCAAGGTGCTTGAACACGTATTAACTCATTTCATCTTCACAAGAGCCCCATAAAGGAAGTGCTGCTGTTACACTGGTGTTACAGATGAAGCTGAGGTTGAAGAGGTGGTTAAGCCACTGGCCCGAGCTAGAAAGTTGCAGAGAACTTTGGCCGTATCTCTTTGTGTCAGCTGTTCCCAGGCCCCCACTGTGTGCAGGAAAAAACTGAGGGGCAGCGGGAGAGCGAGGCACGGCCTCTACCCTCGAGGCACTCACACCCCAAACTCACGATGCAGGAGGGGAGGGAAATACTCACAGCACGCAGTGGGCACACGATCACGTCCTAACTGGGAGTCAGCTGCACGTAGAGGTGCCCAGGGGCACAGGGGCCCTGGCCTGGCAGAGTCTACTGCTGGGGGGTGTGGGTTTCGGGCAGAGTGTGGATGGAGAAGATTGGAGGCCGATTGGCCCAGAAGAGCCTAAAAGGAATCTAGGCTCGGAGGGTGATTTCTTCCAGGCTGCTGGGGGTGGGGGAGCTGAGGGCACAGGCCCCGCCCCCAACCCCTTTCTCGTCCGTTCGCCCCCAGGCCACCTTCCTCTTCTCCCTGATCAAGTACACTCCGCTGACCTACAACAAAAAATACACGTACCCGTGGTGGGGCGATGCCCTGGGCTGGCTTCTGGCTCTCTCCTCCATGGTCTGCATTCCTGCCTGGAGCCTCTACAGACTTGGCACCCTCAAGGGCCCCTTCAGAGAGGTAGAGCCTTTGTGGGCAAGAAAGCAGCCCGAGGGGCTGGGAGGCTTCGCAGGTGCTGGCAGGTGGACGGCCAGCCGGGGTGCACGCAGTTGTACGGAGGGGCCCGCGGACCTAGCCTGGGTGTCAGGGAGCGATAGAGGGGCTGCTGAGAAGTCTCGGGAAGAGACAGGGTGACTCCCAGACAGGAGCTGTGATGACAGGAGGGCAGGTGTGTGTGTGTGGGGAGGCAGGCGGATGTTGGTGATGAGGGAAGCTGGCAGACCTGCCCCCACTCTGCCCCCTGACAGCCGCCTCCGTGCTCCCTGCAGAGAATCCGTCAGCTCATGTGCCCAGCTGAGGACCTGCCCCAGCGGAACCCAGCAGGACCCTCGGCTCCCGCCACCCCCAGGACCTCGCTGCTCAGACTCACAGAGCTAGAGTCTCACTGTTAGGGGCAGGCCCTGGGATGGTGCCTGTGAGCCTGGCCGTGGGGATGGCTGCAGAGGGGACAGGGCAGAAGCAGCTGCATGTGCTTCCCTGCCCCGCACCTAGAGTGGATAAGACAAAAGGGGTGTTTTGGAATCCACCTGCCGAGCTGGAGGCCTCCCACTCCCACTTTTCAGCTCGGGAGTTGCTGAACAGATGTGCAAGGCCAGTGCCAAGAGTGCCCCTTTGAGACCCTTGGGAAGCTGGGTGGGGGCTGGTGGGTGGGGCGAGACTGTTGCTGGCTTCGAGCCCCCTCACCCTTCATTCCATTAAATCCACATTCTTCCCGCTGACTGCTAGTGGTTCTGTCTGATTTCTGCCCCTCTGCCTGGCTGCCTTGACCCTTCCCCATGCTACAGTTGTGACTTTAGGACCTTGCCCCTCCCCATCATAGCCTCCCCCACTGAGTTCTCCCTGGGGCCCACTCAGCACGGTGATGGGGGGCTGGTGGTGGGGCCAGGCTGAGGGCCTCCATCATCAGGCATCTGGACCAGAGGGGGCTGCCCCGCCTCTCTCCACGCGTCCTCAGCTTCCTTCCTCCTCCTTTGCGCTGTGGAATAAGAAAGGAAATTGAGGGACGCATGAAGGAGACCCGAGTCCTAGCCAAAGGAACGGCGAAGGCTGGTGGCAGCTTCCTCCTCCCCACATTCCCTGCTGTGTCCTCGCCTACCCCCAGCGGCCAAAACTGTGCCCGTGTGCCCACCGAGGCCGGGCGCGGGGGACGTGGGAGAGGGCTGGCTGTGACCACGCCCAGTGCAGCAGGTTCGGGAGCCTTGGCAGAGGAGGGCACTGCCCGGCCCGTCCAGCAGAGGAATGCCACTTCCTTGGGACCGCCTCGCTCTTCTGAGGGTTGGAGACACCGGATGCCGGGGCACCGCCAGATGTGGCCACGAGGGGGTGGTGCTGCCGTGGCCACAGCTCTGCTGTCAGGGCCTGAGCTGCAGGGAGGAGTGAGGAGCTCTTTCGGGTGAGGCTGCAAAGAGGATCCAGGTGGAAGGAAGTCCACCCCTGCTCGAGGTCAGTGGGCATGGCGGAGGGGGTAGCCTTACCTCTGGATATGGGCATGGAGCCGGGGCCCACATATTTCTGGCTGTTGCTTTTTTTTTTTTTTTTTTGAGATGGAGTCTCGCTCTGTCGTCCAGGCTGGAGTGCAGTGGCGCTATCTCCGCTCACTGCAAGCTCCACCGCCTCGCGGGTTCACGCCATTCTCCTGCCTCGGTCTCCCTACAAGCTGGGACTACAGGCGCCCGCCACCGCCCAGCTAATTTTTTTTTGTATTTTCAGTAGAGACGGGGTTTCACTGTGTTCGCCAGGATGGTCTTGATCTCCTGACCTCGTGATCTGCCCGCCTCGGCCTCCCAAAGTGCTGGGATTACAGGCGTGAGACACCACGTCCGGCCACTGGCTGTTGCTTTGTGTGTGGTTTTGGAAGTGGCTGCGCACACGGCTACATCTCTCCTGGCCTATGCGCGGGCTTGGGGGTCTGCCCTTGTGCCCACCTTTGTTCTGATGGGTCTTCTGATGCTGCCCTTGGTGTGTCCCGTGATTCTTAGATCTGCAGTCTGAGGGTGCACAGGCTTCCCTGGGTGATCTCAGTTCTTCACATGTCCATTAGTGGACAAAAATGCACTGAAATATTTGCTAGTCTTCAGTTTTTGACTTTTTGTCGTTGGAAGAGCTGGTGAAGATTAATGACACCTGTCCTACTGTATGTCAGCCTTGGCTGCCCTTCCCTGGAGAATGACTGCTCGGGCATTCCCCCAGGGTGCTGGGCTCAGTGTCAGTCTCACCGGGGCAGAAGTACGTCTGCTGGAGAGGCCGGAACTCGAGACGCTGCAAGACCCGCAGCTCCATCCATTGGACACTATTGACAGAACACCTCCCGTGTGGTGCGGTGCTGGGCTCGTGGTGCGGTGCCGAGTTCACGGTGCGGTGCCGGGTTCGTGGTGCGGTGCCGGGTTCATGGTGCGGTGCTGGGCTCGTGATGCTGTGCTGGGTTCATGGTGCGGTGCTGGGCTCGTGGTGCGGTGCCGGGTTCATGGTACGGTGCTGGGTTCGCGGTGTGGTGCTGGGTTCATGGTGCTGTGCTGGGCTCCTGACACACCAGGAGCAAAAACAGACACAATTTCTTAAACAATGAGTGACAGATACCATGACAGAAAAGAGCAAAGAGCTGTGGAAAAGGATAACTGGGGTGGGGCAGGACCTCATGGGGCAGGCTGGGTTCTAAGGGTCCCTGTCTGTATCCATCCATCTGACCAAAGTTGCCAGAACTGCCAGCCTCGGTGGAATGTGAGACTCAGATGTGATCTGAGTCGCATCTAGGAGCGTCCTGATGGTGGAACGTGGTGTGAGAGTCACCTGTCGGTGTAAGAATCAGGAGATGTGGTTCCAGAACTTGCTGGGTGTCTTTGTGCCGTCACTTGGAATTCAGGTTCTTTGCTCTGCAGTTGCAGATAATGCCAGGCACTCCTTCTCCAAACAGGCTTGTTGTGGGGCTCAAAGGCGGTCATGGGTGTGAGGGTCCTTTCAGTCACTTGGTGACACACGGTGTGAGGTCATCGAACTCGAGGGAGGTGGCCGAGGGGATGAGGCTCTAACCGCAGGCGGGGCTGTGGCAGGCAGTGATGTGAGAATGCTGCTGGCTTGGGTCAGGGGTCAGGGTTGAGGGAAGGAAGCAGGAGTACCTTGGCCTTAGCCAGTAGGGCTGAAGAGATGGGGGTGGGGTGGGGTGGGGTGG